AGATTTTTTTTCTGTCCATCTGAACATGGGTTTCAAAATTCAAAATCGTTGCCAAAAATGTTTTTATTTTTTGAAAGTTTTGGGGCATTTTGGTTTCTGTTCAATTAAGACGGAATCTCAAGTCTGATGATCATCTCCTATATACCATTTTGTAGAGAATTAAATGATGAATCTTCTGCAAAAAACAGCTGAAATGTATCACATGTATTTCATATAAATAACGTCAATTTACAAAGCAGGTCAGAACTTAGTATACATCCTTTATTCCCAAGTGTCAGGGCAAACATCTGACACTAGAAACCTGGGATTAAGTGTCTGTTTTATTATAAAACAGATCCTAAATGTATCGTTATCTTGGAATGTTACAGCACTTTTTAGAATCTTTACCAGTTGCACACTTTTTGGCAGAAAGAGGAGTATTTTAATAAAAATTCTCAAGTGCTCGACTTAACTAAGTTTACACGTGAAAAAACGCTCGTGTTTATTTATTTGAAATACGTTTTTTTCTAAAATCGGAAAAGTTAATAAAAGAAAAACCCATTTAAAAACATTGGGAATTAAGAAACGCACGAGTTCTACTTATTCAGAAAAACAATCGGACACTTCTAGCGAAGACGAGGACTTAATGTTTCAAAAAACAGGTAATATTGACTTCACTTCGAAAGATTTGTTGGAAAATATTAATGAAGTTATGGCATTTTGTAAACAAAACTGCAGTGCGAAATGTTTAAGTGTGTTATTATACATGTCATTGAGACACTTCAACGTTTCATGTCGCAACGTCGATGCTTTTTTAAGTGAAATTGGAGGTTACAGGGCTGCAACATGTCACAGGCAAACAGATAGACTAATCCACTACGGTTTCGAAAAATTTGTGGCTCACGCACGAGATGGAAAACGTGGTGACGCCTTTTGGGATATGTATCCGAACATTGAGCAGGAAGCTCGTGAGTTTTCTATGGAAGCTTGTACTAGAAAAGCAGCTTCGTTTACAGTCGAGGAATTAGCTCAGTTCATAAATGACAAATATTGTGAAATCAATGGCCTGCCAAAAAAAGATTCAGGCTACATTCGATCTGTTCAAAGCTGTCGTCTTGATCTTAAAGCTTGGGGCATCACGTATTCCGCCAACAAAAGTCGACCTTATTTTTTGGGCCATGAAAGACCAGAGGTTGTTGAGCACCGTGAACAAATAATCAATTATTTTCTATCGAGAGAACAGTTTTATTATCAAGTCTCAGAAGGGGGTGATCCAAAATGGGTTCAACCATCAGTTCCCGAGCCAGTTGTTTTACTCTGTAAGTAGTGCGCTCGATCTTACTCACTTTTTCTCTCACGAAACCCCTTTTCCGGTATTTTTTGTTTGTTTTTTTAAGGTCACGATGAAAGTACTTTTCGTTCAACCGAAATTTCTCACAAACGTTGGATGGCTGAGGGCCATGAGCCGTTTTTCGTGAAAGGTAGAGGGCGATCCCTCATGATCTCCGATTTCCTTGTTGCTTATCCTTCGTCTCCATTCTTCCGTCTGACCGATTCTGAATTTCAAGCTGCTCTCAAAAAGTATCCAGAACTTTCAAAAACTTCGGGAATAAATTATGAATCTAATTCTGCTAGTGCGTCGATTGCCATCGGAACAGACGCTTATTTTACCAACGAAGTTATTTTAGAGCAGTTCGAAAGATTGTTTAAGATGCTACCCTTTAAAAAAGAGTTCAAGAACTGCAAATTTGAAGCCTTGGTTAACAATGCAACAACTCACACGACAAAACTCTATTCGTTAAATGACTTTCTCAAAGGAGAAGGCTTTCGTTGCCCTGATGATTTCATTGAATGGACAGATGATAACGGGAAACATCAAAAAGTTAGTTGCTATTATCCGTCGGATGTTAAAGAAGGCTGATCGAAAGGTTTATTAGCTATTGCCAAAGAATTAGGCTACCAAGTGAATGAAAAAATGAAATTACAGGAGCTCAGAGACACATTGTCCACTCATCCAGCTTTCAAAAGCGTGAGTGCTATGAGAAAAATTACTTCCTCTTTTTTCATCAATTTTTTTTTTCATTTTTTCCACCTAGATCACAAAATTAGAAACTCTAGCCAATTCGTATGGGATAAATTTAATTTACCTTCCAAAACTCCACTGTGAACTCGCAAGTGTGGAAGGATCATGGTGTCACATGAAATCATATGTCAGGAAACATTCAGAACAAAATTTTCAGAAAATGATTACATTGACTGAAGAATCCAGATTAAATTTTGAGGAAAGAAACATTAATCTGAAACTACAAAGACGATTCTGGGGTGCTCTACGAGCATATAGAGATGGAAAAAGTTATCAAGAAGTGCTGTCAATGTTCTTTAGTTCTCTTTGTAAAGACTCAGTAGCTTCGCACAGAAAAATAACGAATATAAACTTAAATGATTGATTTTGATTATACATTAGTTGGCTATTTTTGATATAGTAATAATCTAGATATTTTTTCTACAGTTATTTTTATTTTTTTACATTATAGCAGAGAAAATAAGGAAAAAACTTCATGTAGAAGGGTCGGAGTGTTATTTGCACTGTCCAGCTGTCCAGCGATGAGTCATCTATGTGCATATTAACCGGCTAGCTCGTCGAACCAATGAATATAGTTCGCACGTGCCGTCCAAAATGTACACAAGATGTCTTATGCGTACTATATGTTCAGAATAGCGGTTACAGGAGCGCCTTCTCCTTTGCGGTTTTCTAGTGCCCCTCCAGAGCTCTACTAGTGAACGGAAATGGTTCTCATTAGATTCCCCATATATTTTTACCCATACTCTGTTAATTTGAGTTTGTTTGAATGAAAATTGTAGAAGTTAGAAAAAAATCACTTGGCCGTTTTTTGTCGCAAACCCAGGAGAAAAAAGACGGGCAATAAACTGCTCATTAACTGCCAGTTTACAGTCTGCCTAAAAACTGCCAGTTGACAACGTGTTAACTGTCTAAAAACCACCTAAAAACTGTCTAGTTTATTGGCC